TTACTTACTAGCAAGTTACAGAACTTCTCTGAGTAACTTCCCCTGGGGGGGGCGGGTACATCTTCCCTAGCTGTGATGAGAATTAGAGGAGAGAGTGGTGTAAGGATGGCCAGGCATGTGCCCAGCCCAAGGCAGAAAACTGCTTCTGTTTCAGTAGTGAGAGGAAATCAAGGATCAGCAGACACAGCTTTAACCCTGAGAAAATAATGGCAATTTCCCCAAAGCTGGCACATACATTTCATACAATTCCAACAAAACTCCCACCGTTATTTCTAATTGTATACAACAATCTTACAATCAGTATGTAAAAGGAAATCTGTAACCAAGACAAAAAAGGCAAGTGCTTTAAAAAGAACAGAACATGCAAGAACGCATAAAATTCTATTAAAAACACAGAAAATTTTGTTTCTTATGCAGCAACAGATAACATAAATAAACCGAACAACAGCACAAACTGGAATTTAAATATAAAATACTTAATGAATATTAATTATGAAATGAAGTAGTATATATAAATATATATGTATATGTAAATTGATGCTGTGCTCACTGATAGTGGAGGAAGTAAAAAGTAAAGTAACAGTGAGATAAAACTTTAAACCAGCGATTTTCAACCCATGTGCTGCAAGAATTTCTAAAACATACAATGTCTTACTAGTTAGCCAAGGACACTGACCTCTTTTCCCTACTGTCAAATTTAAAAATGACAACAGCCAACACAATAGCCATCGGGTGTGAACGGATCCAAATTATACCTATTTTTTGTCAGATAGGCAAAAAGTATGTCATAATTTTTGGAGCTGCTGGATTTTAATAATTAGTGTACATGTGCCGTGAGATGAAAAAGGTTGGTCATCACTGCTTTAAACCTTTCAGGATGGCAAATATCCGCATCCTTATAACGGGGTGTAGTGGTGCTCTGATTTCTAGGGGCTGGGTTCCCAGCACAGGACTGAGGCAGTTAAGGAGTGTCGTCACAGTGGTAACACTGGCAGCAGTGGTAACCACAACCATTCCAATTGCCGCCATTACCACTGCCAGGAGTCTTTTGACCCAGCAACCCACCTCCTGGTGATCTACGTACAGGCGGTCTTTATTGTAGTCGTACCAGTAGTAACAACTGCAAGTGCTACTACTACTGCTTCAGAGACAGTGCTTAAGTGCCACTGTTCAAACACGTTACATACAGTAACTCGAATCCTCACAACAACTCTGAAAAACAAAAACTCTCATTCCTATTTCACAGACGAGGAAATTGAGGCATAAACGTGCCTAGCAAACATAAGAACTTAGACTGATACTGGCTCTTTTGCTAGTATTGTTACATACCCTCTGACAGCAATTCTAACCCAAAAGAAAAAAAAAATTAATAAAAATATTGTGAATGTACATCTGAATGTTCATGAGTGGGCATACGTGGACAGGTATGAAGAAAGATACCTTTATATGAAGAAACAAAAACAAAAACAAAAACAACCAGGAGGAGTCACACTAGGCAGTTCGCAGGGATCATTTTGGTGGAGGAAGGTGATTTCTGAGAGGCGAGGTGGGCTGGGGAAAAAAAGAAACAACTCACTCCTTTATGGATAATAAAGAAAATTATAAATTTTTGAACAAAAAGATAGATACAGAGACAGTAAAGCATCAAACAGAATATCAAATTACAGGAGGAAGGTTAGAGAGAGGTGAGGGAGATAAGAGATCAACCGAAAGACTTGTGTGCATGCATATAAGCATAACCAATGGACGCAAAACTCTGGGGGGTAAGGGCATGTATGGGAGTGGGGGGTGGGGGGCAATGGTAAGATATAATACCTTAATTAAAAATGGGAAAAACAACAATAACGACAACAACACACACACACACACACACACACACACACACCAAGTGAGAAAGCTGAGGTATAAATAGAATAAAAACAAAGACATAACATTCCACAGTCTTTGGGGACACAAGGAGCTCTGCAGGAGTTTGAGGAACAGGTATTTTCAAGCAAACTTCATTACTCAAAAGAGCCATATTTTTGTTAAATGATTTGGGTTTTCCCCCAGGTAATTCAAATTATGTAGAAAATTTCCAAATCATTTATACTTTGTTCAACAACAACAACAACAAAACCCCTACTAATTCCAAGGTTCAGAACCCATCCTCATCCATGGAAAGGCACCGGTAGAGCAAGCATGTCAAACTCAGAGGCTTACACAAGCCAAATAAACAAGGTTTAAGTTTATGTGGGCCAGGCCGCAAAAAACCTTGTTCTCCAAAATCAAAATATTTCCTGTTGTGCACAACAAACAAGTCAGTACAAGACTAATGACATGGCAATCAGCTGCTAAGATATTTGCTGCTAGTATTAGTGGAGAGAAATGGTGTGCTGGCACATAGGAGCATAAGGAAGTGAATGCAACACTATTACAGTCATTAGCGAATGTTGTAGTTCGTTATTAACAACTAGAGGCCCGGTGCACGAAATTCATGCATGAGGGGAAGGGTATCCCTTAGCCCAGCCTGCACCCTCTCCCATCTGGGACCCACTGAGGGATGTCCAACTGCCAATTTAGGTCCAATCCTGCAGGGGACAATCCGGGACCACTGGCTCTTAACCGCTTGCCTGCCTGACAGCCTGATCACCCCCAACCTCTCCCCTGCCAGCCTGATTGACACTAACTGCTCCTCTGCCAGCCTGATTGCCCCCAACTGCCCTCCCCTGCAGGCCTGGTTGCCCCCAACTGCCCTCTCCTGAAGGCCTAGTTGCCCCCAACTACCCTCCCCTGCAGGCCCAGTTGTCCCCAATTGCCCTCCCCTGAAGGCCTGATTGCCCCCAACTGCCCTCCCCTGAAGGCCTGATTGCCCCCAACTGCCCTCCCCTGAAGGCCTAGTTGCCCCCAACTACCCTCCCCTGCAGGCCCGGTAGTCCCCAATTGCCCTCCCCTGCCAACCCAATCGCCCCTAACTGCCCTCCCCTGCTGGTCTGGTCACCCTTAACTGCTCTCCCCTGCTGGCTTGGTCGCCCCTAACTGCCCTCCCCTGCAGGCCTGGTCACCCCTAACTGTCTTCTTCCGCAGCTTGGTCCCCCCACCACCACCCAACTGCCCTTCTCTGCCAGTCTGGTTGCCCCCAGCTGCCCTCTTGGCAGACCCAATCACCCCCAACTGCCCTCCTGCAGCCTGATTGCCCACAACTGCCCTCCCCTGTCAACCATCTTGTGGTGGCCATCTTGTGACAACATGAGGGCACAAGGGCCACCTAGGCTTTTTTAACATACCGTATTTTTCGGACCATAAGACGCACTTTTTTTCCCCCAGAAGTGGGGGGGAAAAGTCCCTGCGTCTTATGGTCCAAATATAGCCTACACATATACTTTAAAAAAAAGTTTTTTTACTTGCCCGGCTCTGTGTGGTCTCTGTGTGCTTGCCCAGCTCTAAAATGGTTCTAAATGCTGCTGTTTACTTTACAGGGTTGATTAAATGTATTTATGACTGTGATGTTGGGTTTTAATGCACATAAAATATTTTAGGACACTATTTGTTTCAGAATCTTTTTTTCTTCATTTCTCTTCTCTAAAAACTGGTGCGTCTTATGGTCCGGAGCGTCTTAAGGTCCGAAAAATACGGTAGATTATGTTTGACACGCTTGGTGTAGAGGAAAGAAAGCTGGGTTTTGCTCCTGGCACTGTCATCTTTGGGTTATTTGGCCTTTGGATAGTTAAGTTTTCTCATCCACAAAGTAAGGAAGTTCAATCTGATCACCCTTAAATACCTTTTTAGATATAAAAGTGTGATGATTCCATTATTAACAAGTACAAAGGAGAAAAGTGAAAAGTTAGCAAATAGGAGTGATAGTTATTACCATTTTAAAGAAAAATGATAATTTAATGAGCCACTTAAAATTATACATTTTTAGAATGAAAAACTGTAACAAGATTAATTAGAAATTGTACAGTTTCAAGTGGTGAGGTGAACTACTCAATGCTTTAATTTTCATGTTGAGGGGGAAAAGTTACCAGTTTCGGTATCATTCAGATTACTTGATTTGTCACCTAAAAATGGAGCCATCCATAAGGAAAAGTTCAACAAAATGTCCTCCTCTAGAGACCACATGTAATGGCTCTCTGAAAAAAGGCTGGTCGGTGACAGCCAGACAGCCAAATTAAGTAAGTTACACATTACAATTTCGAATGGAACGTTCTTGAATATGTTATTCATAGAATACAAAATTGTCCAAAAACATACCTGCTTAAGCATGACCGTTTCCTAAAGCAACAAAGTTTTAATTTTTATATTCTCCTCACAAGCTTTATAAATATTATAGGAATGTGAATATGAGTGACACTAAATGAACATTTGTATCTGAGTGCAAAGCATAAAAAGTCACTACTAGCTCATAGAGCATAAAGATTTCCATGCGCTTGTGACACTGAGCGTATTTTATTGATATTTTATTAACTGGTTGTGGGATTTTTCCAAAAGGACACACAAAATTCCTGAAAACTTCCCCAGTGTAGGAACCCTTACACGAAAACCACCTTTTCAGACTGATTGGAATCTTCTGGAAAAAAAATCCACCAACTCTTTAGAACCTAAGTAAGCCTGATTCCTAAGTAAGCTGGCTAGCCAGGTTTTCGGGCTAGGATGACACAGGGAAGCAGTTCCCGGCTGGCACAGTTATCTGAAATTCCTGAAAACAAGCAGCTCCCCAAGGAGCGGGTCAGAATTTCCTTATCTACAAGCGCGGGCACGTGCATTTATTTATATCCCCAGATTAACTTCGAGTCTAATTTTACTGCCACTGCGTATCCAGGGGTGGATTTCTTTTTTTGAAATGGAACTTGAGCTGAATCAAAGACATTTTAAGGTCAAAATCGACTTCTCTGAAAAACAGAGGGTGTGCGCCCACGTTATTCATGAAGGCTCAGCCATGCACGTTCCGGGGTGGCTGCGGGCAGGAACCCCCGTCCAGCCAGCCGTGCCCACCTGTCGGCGCGGTGGCACAGACTCACCCAAAAGAGCAGGTTGAGGGCGTAGAGCAGGCAGCGCAGGCACCGGACGGAGTCTTCTCTGGCCATGGTGACCCCCGGGAGGGAGAAGCCCCATTCTCTCACCACATCCTATCCCCGAGGGCAAGGCGGCAGCAGCAGCGATCTGCAGCGGCGGGCAGGGGAGGACAGAGGACTCAGCACCGCGCTCCGCTCCCCCCCGTCCATCCCCTCTGTGCCAGCCCGCGGCTGGGTCAGGAGTCTGGTTCCTGCCAGACACCGATCCCCCAAAAATCACTTTAGTGAAGTTCTTAAAGTAATCTCCCCACCTCCCTCCGCCAAGTCCCAAACCGCCCGCAGAGAGCACCTGCTGAGCAGAGAAGAGAGGGGCTCCCCGGACGAATGGCGGCTCGGAGCCCACTCCGGTTCTGTCTTTCTGAATTCCGATGAGACACCCCAAAAAGCCTCCCTCCATCCACGCCCCTCCTAGGGGACAGCTCCGCTCAAACTGCCCGCACTAGAGCCCCCCCCCCCCAGACAGAGGGTCCCCCTCCTTAGGACAAGTCCTGGGGCCCCACCCCCGCGCCCCCCGCCCCGTCCCGCAGCCCCAGGGGAAGGCGCGGCTCCGCAGGGGGCGCAGCGCTGGGCCGGGGCTCCGCCCGGCGACCAGAGAGCGTCTCGGGGGGGAGAACGTGAGAAGCGACGTCTCGGCCCGGAGGGAGGGGTGATCAGCCCGGGGCGGGGACGGGGCTGGGGGATCGGGGCCCGTGCAGCTGTGCAGGCACCGGGCTCATCCCCCGCGTCCCCTCCCCCGGCCCCGGCCGCGGCCGCGACCCCGCGCTCCCTCCCGGCCGCCCCGGAGCACAAAGCCCAGCGCGGTCCCCGCCCGCCACCGCGTGCGCGCCCCCGGCGGGGATCGGGGCGGCGGGGGGCAGCCCTGAGCGGGGATCGGGGCGCCCCTAAGGGGCTCAGCACCAGAGCCCGGGCAGCCGCCGGCGGGACCGGGGCAGGAAGGACGGCAGACCCGCGGTCACTCACCGTCCTCGGCCGCCCCGCGCCGCTCGCTCTCCCGCCGCTCAGCTGTCCGGGGCGCACGGAGGGGGCTCATCGGGGCCGGGACGCCCCCCGCGCGGGGCCGGAGGGCTGCAATGGGCTCCGGCTGGAGACGCTTCCCCGGCTTCCTCTCCGCCCGCCGCCGCCGCCGCCTCCTGGGAAAAAGGAAAAAAAAAAGAGCCCCGGGCAGCAGTTGCTGGAAAGTCTCTGCTAAGCCACCTCCCCGCGCCGCTGTCCCTCCCAAGTTCTCGCCAAGTCCGGACGGGCTGCGGCGGCGGCCAGGCTGCTGCACGCCCTCTCGGCGCATGCTCCGGCCGCCGGCCCGGGTCCGCTCCGAGTGGGGGTTTCTGGTCCCGTCCCCCCGGGTGAGCCCCCCGAAGGGACGCCTCACCTCTGCAAGACACCGGCCCGGAGCCGGAGCCAGGGACTTCGGGGAAGTCCGCCCAGTGAACCCCTTTAAAATGGTGCTGCCGGAGGAGGGGAGGGGAGGCTAGAACCATAGGGAAGCAGGCTCTTATTATATGAAAATATTTGTGTTTGGGAAGGGGGGCGAAAGAGCGGACCAACCCAATTCCTGCAAGGAGAAACCAGTTTGCACAACCTTTTGGGAACCACCTCCTGTGATTTGTCACCAGAGTGGTGCCCTGTGATCCTTTGAATTGCTTTGTTGCCTCCCAGACTAAAATACACACACACACACACACACACACGCACACACACACGCACAGTTCTCTCCAACTTCCATAATGCACTAGGAAACACCAGGGTAAACGTGTCCAGGTCTGACATCCAGAAGAGGAAGAAGATAGTTTTAACTCTTTCACAGGTAATGCAAAGACTTCAAATGTTCTCCCAATAAGATGACGTTTTAAGGGGCTGATTTACCTTGAATTGTGTACATTTTTTAAGCTAGATATTCAGGAAGTATTAAAATAATAATGGGAAACTACCCTTCTTTTTAGAAGTTTCTTTGGGGAGTAAGAAGTTTCACACATAAAAATCACTCCATCATATCCCCATATAAAACTATGATGTTTTATGCCTCGTGATAGCCCACATTTCTATAATTACTTTTATGCACATTGTGTGGCAAATAAATCTACACTAACAAATCTGAATTCCCAGAAATAAAGAACATTTTTTTAGAGAATTATTCGGAATTTATTTGAGCCCAACTGAAGGCAATTATCGGGAAGCAAAATCTCTAACGGATTGAGGAAATGTGCCAGAGAATGGCAGTTATACATCTTATTTTACTTAATTATAGCTTATATGCAATGTTATTTTGTATTCATCTCAGGGGCATAGCACAGGAATCAGACAATCACACTTCACAAAGTGCTCCCCCTTTCATATTTCCAGGACCCGCCTGGCACCTTCCATAGTTGTTACAATGTGATATGGTATTTGTCTTCCTCTGACTGACTTATTTCACTTAGCATAATACTCTCTAGGGCCATCCATGCTGTCACAAATGGTAAGATTTCCTTCTTTTTATGGCTGAGTAATATTCCATTGTACAGATACACCACCACTTTATTATCTCTTTGCACTTGAGTGGGTTCCATATCTTGGCTATTTAAATAACACTGCAATGAACATTGGGGCACACATATTCTTTTGAATTAGTGTTTCAGTTTTCTTCAGATATATACCCAGAAGTACAATTGTTGGGTCATAAGGCAGTTCCATTTTGAATGTTTTGAATGACTGCACCAATTTGCATTCCCACCAACAAGGGTTCTCTTCACATCCTCACCAACACTTACTGTTATTGATTTATTGACAGTAGCCGTTATGACAGGTGTGAGCTGATATATCTTTGACGTTTTAATTTGCATTTCTCTGATGATTAGTGATGTTGAGCATCTTTTTGTATGTCTATTGGCCATCTGTATGTCCTCTTTGGAGAAGTGTCTGTTCAGGTCCTTTGGCCATTTTTGAGTTGGATTGTTGGCTTTTTGGTGTTGAGTTGAATGACTTCCTTATAAATTTTGGAAATTAACCCCTTATCAGATATATCATTGGCAAAAATGTTCTCCTATTCTGTAGATTATCTTTTCATTTAGCAAGCAACATCTTTGAGAAAACCTAATAATGGGAATCCTGCTTACATTGTTTAAAGGGGGGATGCGGGGGGAAGGGGGGAAGATAGAATACTGTGTTTGTCATTGCTGCACAACCAAAATGGCAAAAGACAGACACTCATTTGGGTAGAAATAAAATCACCTCTGCAAGAGAACCAGTGTTCTGGGTTAGAGGCAGCACTATCTGGGAAAGCAAGTCACTAAGCTGAAGGTAAGGCAACAAGAAAGAGCTCAAGAAAAGTGGCCAGGCATCCATTAGGCAACTCTAATTCTGGCAGCAAAAAATCTTCTAGAAACACGGAGAAGAGTGAAGAAACCCCCTTTTATTCACCATCAGTTTCCGCTCAAATGAGAGAGCTGTGGAGACAGCCCGTCATCTGAATGCTGCTGGAACACACGTCCCTCTGAGAGATAGAAACACCCCCACACTGGCAATCTATGACTAGCGTCAAAACTAGCACGAAAAACTTCCATGGCACTGAACAGAGATCCTCTTCTAGTTCTGGGACACAGTCAGTGCCTTTCCATAATTCATAAACTTTTTGATGTATTCTTTATTAACTTCAGAGAGGAAGGGAGAGGGAGAGAGATAAAAACATCAACGATGAGAGAGTCATTGATCGGCTGGCTTCTGCATGTTCCCCACCAGGGATCAAGTCCGCTACCTGGGCATGTGCCCTGACAGGGAAGGCAACGGTGACCTCCTGGTTCATAGGTCAACACTCAGTCACTGAGCCAAGCTGGCGGGGCATAATTGTTAAACTCTTAAGGGCCCTAGAATAATATTATACAGTTTTAGAGGAAGTTGCTTTGGAAGTATGTATGCCCCCCCCCGCCCCCCAACTATTTTTTAGTACTAAATAAGTAATATGGAACCATAGAAGTTAAAGGAGTTGCTCAACATTATACCTATAGCTAAATCAGATTCCAAACTAAAATTCAGAATCATACTCTCGAACTGTATGTGGGTTAGTGATTCTAAAAATTGCTGTCTGCTGGGACTGGTTTGGCTCAGTGGATAGAGCGTCGGCCTGCAGACTGAAAGGTCCCGGGTTCGATTCCAGACAAGGGCATGTACCTTGGTTGTGGGCACATCCCCAGTAGGGGGTGTGCAAGAGGCAGCTGATAGATGATTCTCTCTCATCAATGTTTCTAACTCTCTATTCCTCTCTCTTCCTCTCTGTGAAAAATCAACTATATATATATATATATATATATATATATATATATATATATATTTTTAAAAAAAAAAAAGTAAAAATTGCTGTCTATTAGAGTCACTTGGGAAGTTCTGAAAAAATTTTAACACTTGGGCTGTACCCCACACCCGTCAAGCCAGAGTCGCTGCAGATGTGGTCTAGACATCCAGGTTTTTCAAAGTTCCCAAGTTAATTCTAATGTGCAGCGAAGGCTGAAAATCACTGCAACTGACGCCTTACAGATGCCAGAAAACTAGCAAAAGGGGTCTCTTCAGGTTTAGCTGGATCCAATCCTTCTCTTGTGAGTTGATAAATTAAAATGAATATCCTCATTTTACAAGTTAAGAAGAAAACAGAGCCCTGGTTTCTGCTGTAATATGCCTGACAAACTGTTATCAGAGTATATGAGTCAACATTTCAGTAGAGGAGATGGCACCACATTGGGGACACTGCGGGACCGGGCGGTCGTGACTGTTTCAACCTGACCATGCCTCCCTTCAACGCCTGCCCCTCAACCCCAGTTCTGCCTTCCGGAGTCCACAGCTTGAGCCATCCTTCTCCCATCTGCAGCCCTTCAACTCCCTGAGGGCAGCTGCTACCCCCTCCCTCTCCGATTCCTGTCTTCTCCAGAATTACAGAAGCACAGTAAGACTTGACATCACAGCTGTCATTTGACGGGCTCATATTTTATTCTGTGAGAATAACATCTTTTTCTGTACACACACACACACACACACACACACACACACACAAAAAAAAAAAAAGGAGGGTAGAAAAATTCCAAAATGGGCATGACGATTTGAATGTAGAATAACACATTAGGTTGATTGTGTGGTCTATTCATTGCCAGTGAGGCAGGAATCCAATTCCGTAGCTACGTGTGCTTCATTAAATACCTTTTGACTGTGTGGCATCTACTAAGAATACTAAGAGACTAGGAATAAGATGAGTCCCTATCCTCCAAGAAAAGGCAAAACTATTCTTTTCAGTCTAGATGATAACAGCTGCTATTTAGGAACAATCTCAGATGTGTCAGTCCCAGAGTCAGAAATAAAACTCAGCTATGCACTAAGGTAATATAAGTTCCTCACTCCACGAGGCAACTAATTTGTCCATATGTTATTCCACTCATTCTGCTCAAGTTGTACGGAGGGAAGCAGCAGCATAGGGATTTGGTAGAATGAATTTCTTTTTCAGTGTAATACCCATTGCAGTACACTTAGAACACTTCTTCACAATCAATGCAGAAACAAGGCATAATGTGTTTTGAGCAAGTAATATGTGTCTGACATGCTAGATGCTTCTCATAATGTATCTTGTTAATGTATCATAAACGCACAGTGAGATACTGAGATTCACTTGATTTCTCCAGGGTCCTACAGGTAGCAAGTAAAGAAACAGATTGTAAGACGTGTCTGACTCTTTGCTATGTTAATCTTCATTAAAGTAATATTTCAAATCTGGATAGGGAGTCATTGACAAACCTCAAAAAATATTCTAAGGAGTATTTATTAGTTCTTGAGAATATGAGGCTGAATTTAAAATATGTATACTCAAACTATGATTGGTGAATCTAATGTTACCTTTAAATCTCAAACAGTACACCCAATAGGACCTGAGACAAGTTTTTTTTATCACTGAGTTAGGCAGACTTCTTTCAACTACAGACATAAGGTTAGCAAACAAAATACAGGATTCCCAGTAACAATAGAAATTCAGATAAACAACAAATACTTTTTGGTATAAGGATATCCCAAAAACTGCATGGGGAAAGTACTGCATTGGACACACATGTACTAAAAATTTATATTTATTGAAAATTCAAATTTAACTGCACATCCTAGATTTTTATTTGCTAATTCAGGCAACCCTAGAAAATTCAACTCAAAGTGCCACAACAATACTATATAATAAAAGGCTAAAATGCAAATGGACCAAACAGAGGAATGACCAGTTGCTATAATGCT